TATTTTTTTACCTAATTTCATTGCAAATGATGCAAATAATAAATTTCTAGAATATAAAGATATTGTAAACCTTCGGATCTGTGACGTTAAAATTCTACCCTTCTGAAACCATCCTTATTATTCTATACAAATATTTTTCACTTCAACATGTTCAAATTCCATTTTTGTGCAACTTTCAATAAAAATTTAAAAACTATGCGGTGAAACCTATTCATTTTATTCATTACAACATGACCCAAATTGTTATTTTCAAAATTTTTGACAAAAGTTTGTTTGTATTATCTGTCCTTAAATGTAAATATTTTTCTAAAAATTGCTGTGAACTGACTAGTCCCCATGTATTAGTCAAATGAGCTATTCCCTGCTTTGGAAATCGAATCTAATTCCTGGTTATCTGTGATCCTCTAAATTTTACTTTAGTATTGTTATACTGTATGGCCGGATTTTTTGGCAGGAATTTAATTTTGGCGATTTATAAAAATTCACCAAATAAAAAACTTTAAATTTGTAGTCTTTAGGCTTTGCATTTGCAAACAAAAGAGATGAGAGAGAGTAGGGGTGCTTGCATTACATAGGAACAAAATTCACTCCCCCTTTTTTTGGACTTGTCTATTCTCTGATTTCATCGATACCACAAAGCATATTTATAGCATGTAACTTCCCTATTTGTTATGGTAGATCACCGGAAATAAACAAGTCAACAAACAGTTAAAAATATAGATATATCCAGTTAATTGATATTATTTTGAATAAACAAAAATATAGTTCTATATTCAAAACTTATTTTAATTTTTCTAATTTGGATTTCATCAGTGCCAAAGATTTAACCCCAATAAAGGTCATATTTGTTCGACAATGGTTTCAAATCATCTGCCATTTAAAACAGCACACTCATGAACAATAAAATTTATTCAACAATAATTGTTTTAGTCAGTAAGACAATATGTACTTGTTAAAAATCTGATATCAATTTTTTTTAACATATGTGTGACAGTATTGCGCTTAGGATGGTTTGTTTACGTAAACACACACATGCACTTGGAATGCATTAATTATCAGCAAAATGTTGAAACATGCTTGGTGTAATCAAGAAAAGAATTATTTACGTACTTAAGCTATTAAGATCTGTATTTGTATTTTTGGAGTGCATTTCATCCATAGGATCTGCTTTACCCCCATGATTTCCCCTGAACTTTTGGGTGCATCTAAAATGAGCACGGCCTTTAAATGCGAATTCATTAACAATAACAGTTTTGAATTCACCAAAATATTATCTGTCAATATACAGTTGTTGACTGGGGTAGAGGGAAACAGTCAATCTGTTTGATCGGAGAGTAAGACTAGGCCGCGGGCAATAGACATAAAACTATCATGTTTTCATGGTTTTGCTATGTTAAGATTTTTTTTTTGCTACATAAACCCAAATCCACAATCATCGAGAGCAAAAAGGAAATAAAAATGAAGACTCACTTTAAAGTCATCTCATGCTACGTGCAGGTACAAGTGGTTCACTTCGTTATTCATCTGCAGTTCTCCATCCCAGCGATATTCATCATACTGGTGTTACTTTCGATTTGGTTTCTCCGAAAGTCCGTTATTTCTGGAAATCACGCGGTCGAGACGCTCGGTTGTCTCCGTAAATCTCCGACTAGAGACTTATGGCGAATTTGTTGCACACGAACTGGTTCAGGTTTTGGTTTAAGTTTTCAAACTGGTTTGAATTTCAATCCTGTTTACCTCGGTAAAACAAATGAACAGTTTATACAAGATGGCGTCAAAAAGATGCAGAACAACATACATGTACATAAATTTGTTAAAATCTTTTTCTTAATAAAATAATCCAAGAAATTATAATGTATTTATATTCTTTAATTATCTTACATATAGTTAAAGTGCAGTATTTATATTTTTAATGCCTCACAGATTAATCAAATGAACAATTTCCACATTTTTTACACATGGAAAGATAAACACTCGGATATTTATAGTTACTCTTCAGATTTCTGTCTTTACCATATGTTCTACAGTTTACCATTCATGTTGAAGTTTGTTCAAATGATTCAAACCCTATTTTTGAAAAGGAAAATTTAACATATTCTGTTCATTATTATTGAACAAACACCATTATTTTAATATATGCAGTATTTATCTATTCTCTGAAGCCTTATATATATATAAAACATCAAATATCAGAATGTGGCATTTTAGTCAAAATAGTTGCTTGTCCTAGAAAAAAAAATTATTTATAACTTTATTTCTTTATTAGAATAGTCACCATCTTTCATCACCGCCATATTGGAATACTTGCCGCTCTTTCGTAAACCGAATAAACCACCTGCGGAGGTGGTTTGGTTGGTTTAACGAACTGGTTTCAGTTACAGCCAAAACAAATGGAAATCCGGTTCTGGGTTTAAACTAGTTTAAAACCAGTTTGTGGAACAAATGAACAGTTTACAAAACTGGTTCAAAACTAAACCCAGTTTTTGAGAAACAAATTCGCCCTTAGGGGACGACCATTTGATTCTGAGGGGGGCTGGCAAATTTTTTTGAGACGGATTATTTATTTTCATGCCCGTCAAGGACAGATTATTTATTTTCAAGATTATCGAGGACAGATTATTTATTTTCTTCTTTGTCTTACGGTACCTTGATCGATTGATTCTAAAAGACTAATAATTTATGTACCACAGGCGGATTCAGGATGGCGGGCGTGTATAACTTCGTGCAGGCAAGAGGTCTGGGGCCGCCTTAAGGCCCCCAGTGGGTCCTGGGCGAAGCACTGGTGGAGGCCAAGGGAGGGAAATTCCCCAGAAGCTCTTGGGTTTTCGGGTATTTTAAGAGTAAAACCATGCAGGACATTTATAGTGGTATTGGTTATTATGTAGCAAAGTGTCATTATTAAAATTGGTCATATCATACTTTGAATGAAGGGGGTCCAGGGGGCGAAGCCCCCTGAAGCTCGTGGGTTTTTGTGTATTTTAAGAGTAAAACCAGGCACAATTATGTAGGAATTGGTTAGTTATGTTCCAAAGTATGACATAATCAATACTAGTCATATCATACTTTGGATAAAGGGGGCCCAGGGGGCGAAGCCCCCTGAAGCTCTTGGTTTTTGTGTATTGTACTAAAGTATGGCAATATTAATATAAATCATATCATACTTTGAAATTTTAGGGGAGGGTCATACACATGTATGCCTTCCTTAAATCCGCCACTGTATACTTTGTATTAATTTATCGGGAAGTATAATTCTTTGACAAGAAAATTTATCTTTTGTGGTGTTTAAGAATTGGTTTGTATTTAAAGTGATTCATCACATCTACTGAGTGCCCATTGTCATGTTGATCAACTGACTACAAGTTTCCAGTCTGGTAATCTGATTTAAAATATTTTTTGGTTCTAAATTAGCGAGCGAAGCGAGCCAAAAAAAATGCTGAATTGAAGATAATCTGAGGGTTAAATTACACAGAAATAAAAAGGTATTTTCACAATATTTAAATATCATAAGTCAAGGTCAGATTATTTATTTTCTTTGCAGAGGAGGACGGATTATTTATTTTCAAAATTTTCAGGGACAGATTATTTATTTCCATAATCTGCCAGCCCCCTCCTCAGAATCAAATGGTCGTCCCCTAAAAGGAAGGATGTGGTCATTATGTATATGGTGGTACCGTTTGGTGTTCATCGGACATTTTCTGTTGTAACAAAAGATTCAATACTGAGTTTTATTGGACATTTCTAAGGTGTGATACATAATCAGTAAGTCAGTGTCATTGGTGATCATTGATGATTATGTGATATGTACAGTGTTACTGTACAGTGCTATTATTTCTTTTAAAGTATCGCAAGCAACATAGCTTGTATACATATTATGTTGGGATTATGGTAACGTTCTTTAAGTCACAATCTGGGTTGGGGGCGGCGGAGTTCGGGGATTACCACGAATGATGATTTCTACCATGTCTGGCTCAAAACTCTGGGTAGTCTATCCTCAGTACTGGGGAAGATTTTGGGGTTACCTCACCGTGCCTGAGGGACCGGCTTGATCCTTGTGGTACCAATGGCAGGTTTTGGGGGTCTGCGGTACCCAGCTACCCCTGGGGGTGTTATCCCCATGTTGTTGTTGTATTCCAGGGGAGACAAGTATAGAGTGAGGACCTGGGCCAGAACTTGAATTAATTCATTCCATGTGGCATTCACTCTTGTGGGTTCCAAGAGGTCTGTTCCCACCACAGTCACCTGTGGGTGCGCTATCGCGCCAGGTCAGTCGGCAGGCAGTGATTCCATGGATTCCGCCGGGGTATTAATAGATTGTGACAAATACTTGCCACAAAATGTAATCATTGTTTTACAATAAATGTGATTAAAGTTAATATTTGTTTCTATTCATTGCATCTGGGATTAATTCATCCGTAAATTTCGGAAGATGAATGTATGTGCCAGTGGATTTGCTTCTCATACTGATCGGAATTTAGTTATCTTTGCATTATATCAGTTCGAAGTATGAAATTAAATAAACCAAATAAATAAATAATGGAAGAGCCTTCCTTTAAAATCCTGCAAGACGCATATCCAAAAAATCACATAGTTTACCAATAATATTTAAATGATTTCATTTTTAAATGTATTGAAAACAAGCAAATAAATAATGGAAGAGCCTTCCTTTGAAATTTTGCAAAACATAACTCCAAAAAATCACATAGTCTACCAATAACATTTAAATGATTTGATTTTTAAATGTATTGAGAATTTAAATTCACTAAAAACGAGGAAATATGATTGGGATATTTGTAACTGATATTATATCTTCTTCTTTTTAAATTTTCAGGTGATTAAGTTTATCACTACGAATTTATGTAAAATCACTTTTTTGTTGTTTACAATGACTATTTATTACGTAACCGTGCCTTTATCCCTGTTGTGATAAGAACAGCGATGTACAAGATCAACGAAAATGTTAAAAAGTCGTTCAAGACCAATTTATTCGGGTAGATAAGTGGGTTCACTCAAGACTGTCACCTTATTCGACGCGGAATGCCGATAAGTCCCCACAAATCAAACATGACGAGTTCTTCCGAAGTAAACACAAATTGTATTCAACGCAGTATGTAAATGGCTTCATAAATAAATTCTTGAATCATGGAAAATAATGCATATGAAAGTAAGTAAAATTTCAGACAAGATTTTTATGTTCAGTCACATATATTCACATCTATTTCTTTGTACTATAATTAACGACATTAAAAACTGAATTTGAGGTGGGAGGTTAATTTCTAATTAGCAATTAAAAAGGTTTTTTAAATAAAATTAACCAAAGATAAACATGTATAAATTGTTTTAGCCTTATATTGAAGATGAACTACTCAAAAGTCGTTTTTTAAACATTGTAGATTCTGAAACGAATGGAGGAGTAATTGAGAATGATACCCGAAAAAGATATTTGACAGACAGCACAGAGTCGCAGGATACTAGTGATGTCAGTATAGTGCCTGAGAGGGTCCAAATGAAGAAAAATGTCGGACTTATCAGCGGAACCTCTCTAATAGTAGGCACCATCATAGGTAAAACAACAGTCGAAATATTTTCAAAATAAAACAAAGTAAATGTTACAAGAGGGTAATAAAACACAACATACGAGAGTTGCGTGGCAGCAGAGGAATCGTTAGCTGATCCAGGTACTTGTGTGTTTTAATGTTACAATTCGAGTTCTGTTTGATAATAACATAAGTATCTCAGAAAGTTTATTTAATTGGGTTTTCATAAAACAGATTTGTTAATTTACAAAAGATCAATTAACTTTTACTCTTCCCATTTTAATATTGATACATTCATTTTAAACATACATACATGGAATTGACGATAGACAGGTGAACGAACGTTCTTTCTAAAAAAAATATATGCCTTGCAAATATTTTTATTTTTCGGCATCATACACTTGTGGATATTTCTCTTACAATTTTCTCGAAATTCAAACAAAATAGCATTGTTAAGCAAAAATAAAATCATGATATTGTGGTTTGACTTTGCTCGTAGGATCTGGAATTTTTATATCACCAAAAAGCGTGTTGGACAGGACCGGATCTGTGGGACTGAGCCTTGTTGTCTGGGTAGCCAGTGGATTCTTGGCCTTGCTTGGTATGGGTTTAGTTTCCTCTGATTAAAAATACCAAACCTAGTAACAATCCTAGTATAATAAAGATAGGTATCATTTCTTTTGTTAAAAGTTTGGGTTATCTGAACATGTACCATGTTTTTCATTGCCTTTACTGTGGGTTATCTTTACCATAACCAACAGTATTAAATGGGGGTAATTACCAGTCCTACTACTCATCTAATTTTCTTTACTTATCAGGTTCATTGTCATATGCTGAGTTAGGAACTGTCATAAGGAAATCAGGTGGGGAATATGTGTACATTAAGGAGGCTCTGGGAGAGATTCCCGCCTTCCTGTTTGCATGGACATCTGTCATGGTGGTTCGAACCTCCTCTATGGCTATCATTTGTCTGACTTTTGGCGAATACATGGCTACCTTTTTCCCGTATTGTGGATCACCAGTCATCCCGATGAAAATTGTTGCTGCTCTTGCCATTGGTTAGTTTTCCCCTCCATATTTACCTGAGTTGACATAAGATTCACTGCATGACAATAAAATAAATAATTTCAAACACTCCATTATTAAAATAAATAATTTCCTTGATAGTGTAGCGTTTCAACTGTGTACAATGATTAATAATTGGGTTAGCTAAGGTTTCCTTCCTAAGAATCGCACTTATAACATAAAATTAAACAAAACTTACGTAGATCCACTATAACAATGACAACAATAAAATCTGGATTGGCAAAATAGCCAAACAAATGTTATAATACGGGTCCTATCTGTGATTAGTAAACAAACTTGATAAATAAACAACAACAACAAAACAAAAGAAAAGAATCAGCTACAATTAAATCAATAATCAAATTTTCATATGATCCCTATTTCTGTAGCTGCAGACTGAATGGTTTAAGAATAATTCTGTTGTTTCTCGACACAGTCTGAACTACCTAAAAGCACACCCTCAAATTCACTGATACACCTTTAATATTTCGCCTTCTGAAGTATTACTTAAGCAATGCATAACAACTAAGTAAACAAAAACTATATCGGTGTTTATATTTATACCTTTTATCACATTTGTCTCATTACTTTTCATTTGGTTAATAATTAGTGAATTCGAATTGTTTAAAATGTAACGTTGATTGCAATTGTTTGATAATCCCAGAATCATTCCCATCCACTTTATTACAACAGTATCCCTGGGAGTCATCAACAGTTACAGTACAACACTGGCAGGAAGAACTCAGGTCTTCTTCACTGCCGTCAAACTATTAGCTCTTGTCGTCATTGTCGTCGGAGGAATCGTCAAACTCATCCAAGGTACGACCTGTTTATTACGATGAACCTAGAATCTTGATTGAGTTAAATTGCCAAGAGTAAATTACTTAAAAGAATTACATTTGTTGTGTCTCAAAAGGAAACACGTCTCAATTTGAAAACAGTTTTGAGGGCACTACGACCTCTCCCTCCAGTATTGCTCTGGCGTTTTACAACGCACTGTGGGCTTATGATGGCTGGTGAGTATGAACGCTATTAAAACTTCCTAGCAAATTCAAAAAAACCTAGTTTTAACCTAGTCATTAACACAGCACTATACTGTATTTATTTATGCATTAAAAATCATAAACTGTTAGTTCTTTTCCATGATTTCTACATGATAGTAGTTTGATTGTCTACAGACCATAAAACACATATGGATACAATACATAATCCATTATTACCGTTTTCCTTTACAGGAATAACCTGAATTATGTTACAGAAGAAATAAAAAATCCAGCTAAGTATGCGAGATATTAATGAAGAATTTATTTACTGTCAAAGTATTGCATATCAACACTTACCTACGAAAGACGAATAGGGCCACATAAAAAAATATTTTTATCTCGTAATTACGAGAAAAGATCTCGTTATTACGAGTTAATTATCTCGTTATTACGAGAAAAGATCTCGTAATTACGAGAAAAGATCTCGTTATTACGAGTTAATGATCTCGTTACTACGAGAAAAGATCTCGTAATAACGAGAAAAGATCTCGTTATTACGAGTTAATGATCTCGTTATTACGAGTTAATTATCTCGTAATTACGAGAAAAGATCTCGTAATTACGAGAAAAGATCTCGTTATTACGAGTTAATTATCTCGTAATAACGAGAAAAGATCTCGTAATTACGAGAAAAGATCTCGTTATTACGAGTTAATTATCTCGTAATTACGAGTTAATTATCTCGTTATAACGAGAAAAGATCTCGTAATTACGAGAAAAGATCTCGTTATTACGAGTTAATTATCTCGTAATAACGAGAAAAGATCTCGTTATTACGAGTTAATTATATTTTTGATATGCCTGTACAGCTTAATAAACATTGCAGGATCTCATTTTTACTTGTTTTGAACATATTTTATTGTATAAACAAAAGGATTGGAAACAAGTTCTTTCAACTTACGAGTTCCTCTCCTTAAATATAACATTATGTCATGCAATTAAAATAATGTAGTGCATAGAAATTTAAATGCAAAAGAGATACAAGTGAAATATTTGTTCAGTAATATAACAATTTAAAATTGTTACTTAATCCCAGATCGAAGCACAATTTAATAACTTCGTCCTCTTCACACATTTTTATTAAAGAAAAAGGCATAAATATATATTTATAATCACCTCGTAATTAAGAGATCTTTTCTCGTTATAACGAGATAATTAACTCGTAATAACGAGATCTTTTCTCGTTATTACGAGATCTTTTCTCGTAATAATGAGATGATTAACTCGTAATAACGAGATCTTTTCTCGTAATTACGAGATAATTAACTCGTTATAACGAGATCTTTTCTCGTTATTACGAGATCTTTTCTCGTAATAACGAGATAATTAACTCCTTATAACGAGATCTTTTCTCGAAATAACGAGATAATTAACTCGTAATAACGAGATCTTTTCTCGTAATTACGAGATAATTAACTCGTTATAACGAGATCTCTTCTCGTAATAACGAGATAATTAACTCGTAATAACGAGATCTTTTCTCGTAATTACGAGATAATTAACTCGTTATAACGAGATCTTTTCTCGTTATTACGAGATCTTTTCTCGTAATAACGAGATAATTAACTCGTTATAACGAGATCTTTTCTCGTAATAACGAGATAATTAACTCGTAATAACGAGATCTTTTCTCGTAATTACGAGAATAAAAAAAAAATTATGTGGCCCTATTCGTCTTTCGTACTTACCTCATTTGCGACCTAAGTCACATAGTCGTCTTAAGATTTCTAAAGTTATACGTATAATATTCTCAGTCTTATTAATTTTAATGCCTTTTCCCTAAAGAACAAAGATCAAGGGGTGTCTTTTGCTGTCTAAAGTGGATGGATTTTAAATACTTTATTTTTACTATAAGATCTTTGAGAAAATGGAAATTACACTATGTTTCCAAATACAATCGCATCCATGGGTGCGACTTTTCAACACTTTATACATTTTTTCACGAAAAACTGAAGACCAACCTGTTTGGCATCAGTTGACGATGGAAAAGCTGAGGCCATCTCGTTTGTCATACAATTTAATTGTTAGTTGGCCCTTATATATAATTAAATGTTCAAAAATAAAAGAGATGTGGCAGGCTCTATAAAAAATGTATAGATCTTTGCCTCGAAAAAGTCATGTCTCGTAATACTTCTCCAAAAACATTTTCCGTTGTTCTCTCTATTCCTTTCAAAATATTTCCTTTGCACAGAAACCTTCCTCGGGCTAACGTCCTGGGTGTAATGATCACCACCATCATTTATCTATTGGTCAACATCTCCTATCTCACTGTCATGACTTCAACAGAGCTTCTAAACTCATCGGCTGTGGCTGTGGTGTGTATCTAGATTATAAAGTTCTCTGTTATCGCAATTCCACTCTTTAAAACATTGAAATTTTTTATATACCTTGTATGTTTTTCTTACTCTGATTTTTTTAAAATATTAAAATTTAATAATAATACAATTTATACAATAATCATGTTTCTACAGACCTGGGGTGACCGCGTCCTTGGAGCGGCTGCTGCATTGATGCCTCTAGCCGTGTTGTTCTCAACGTTCGGTGCTGCAAATGGAACTTTGTTTGGTGGTGGAAGGTATAATCAAACTAAGGAATGTTTGATAAAGGAAAGACTTAAATGTTTGATAAAGGAACGACTTATCCCTGTATTTTTGCGGTATCCTTAATAAATAATGCATTTCTCACATTGTTAGAGTTGTGTATGTAGCTGGCAGAGAAGGGCACCTTCCAGAGATGTTGTCATACGTGCATTGTAAATATTACACGCCATTTCCCTCGGTGATATTTACAGTAAGTACGAGTGAGGTGACTTAATTAATATGCTTTTTCTTCACTTTATGAACTGTGTTTTGGATAAATTATTCGTTACTTGTGTTACAGTGTGATTATTATCATTTAAATTCTTTTTTTAATTTATTCATTTACTGATTTATCTATTACATTTTTCCCTTATGATGATAATACAGGATGTACTGTGTACGGGTACTCTTTTTTAATTTGATCTAGTTTGCGATTTCCATGATTATGATACGCAGTATCGAATCCCCGGAAACAGTGGGTCGCTGGTAGACTTCATTAGTTTTTATTTGCTTGTTTCTTTGTTTTTTATTTTAAATTGTGATTTACTTGATTATGATAAATCCTGGAAACATTGGGTCGCTGGTAGACTTCTTTGGTTTTTGTTTGTTTGTTTGTTTGTTTGGAATTGTAATTTCCCTGATTATGATAATTCCTAGAAACATTGGGTCGCTGGTAGACTTCTTTGGTTTTTGTTTGTTTGTTTATTTGGAATTGTAATTTCCCTGATTATATTAATTCCTGGAAACATTGGGTCGCTGGTAGACTTCTTTAGTTTTTGTTTGTTTCTTTGTTTTAGATTGTGATTTCCCTGATTATGATAATTCCTGGAAACATTGGGTCCCTGGTAGACTTCTTTAGTTTTTGTTTGTTTCTTTCTTTTAGATTGTGATTTCCCTGATCATGATAATTCCTGGAAACATTGAGTCCCTGGTAGACTTCTTAAGTTTTTGTTTGTTTCTTTGTTTAAGATTGTGATTTCCCTGATTATGATAATTCCTGGAAACATTGGGTCGCTGGTAGACTTCTTTAGTTTTTCCGCCTGGTTGTTTTATGGTCTGACGGTCACGTGCCTCATCATCTTCCGGTTCACAAAGAAAGATGTAGAGAGGCCTATTAAGGTAAAACATTTTAAGTAGTACTCAATAATCAAATGTTAGTTGAAAGATTCTTTTAAATATTTTGTAGAATTGCAGAATAACCTTCAATGGCTGATATTAAAAATGAAGTTTATTGTCCTCCGCTTGAAAAGTGGGGGATATTAATTTGGTCCGTCCGTCTTTCTGTCCGTCTGTAACGCTTTCGTTTCCACACGATATCTCGAGAACCCTTTGAGCTTATGCAATGAAATTTTGCAAGGCAACTCTCTATGGACTAAAGAAGAACCCTATTGACTTTGAGGTCAAAAGGTCAAAGGTCAAGGACATAAATTCGAAAATTCTGTTTGTTAAAACACTTTCGTTTCCACACGATATATCGAGAACCCTTTGAGCTTTTGCAATGAAATTTTACATAACAACTCCCCGTGGCCTAAGGAAGACCCCTATTGATTTTGAGGTCAAAAGGTCAAAGTTCAAGGTCGTAAATTTATACATTCTGTCTGTGTGTAACACTAACTTTTCCGGGTGATATTTCAAGAAGATTTTGAGCTTTTGCAATGTAATTTTATACCAAAACTCCATAGGACCTCTCTCACCCCTCTCAAAGTGTCCCGCCCCGTTTGTTTTATTAGTATTTATTGTATTACATGTCGCTATTTTTAGCACAGGGGCATGAGGAGAGTTATTACGTATAAAACAGGTTCTCGGCGGCTTTATATTCTTATTACATCTATTAGAACTGTTTGATCAGGGTTAAATTAGACACTATGCATTGTGTAAATTTTGACAATATCGAACGTAAATATATACATGTATCTGACTTCATCTTTGCGTATAATTTTCGCCAGTTTAAAGCGGTTCCTTGGTATTGTGGTATGTCTCTCGTTTCACATGTGAGAGGTCCCGGGTTCGAAACCCGGACGATCTATTTTCTTTTTTTTTTTTAAATACTTTTTTTTTTACTAAATGATAGTATTCAGCATATGAAATGAAAAATTTATGAGGTCTGGCTTGTACAAACTCATAAAATCATCATTACAGTGTGATAAATATTCCTTATAAAAAGAATCTTCTATACACATAATAAAGAATAAGCAATCAAATCTTTATATCCATATTGGCATATTTTACTTGCTTCAGTATAAATGTATACATTTAATAATTCTACAAATTCAGTCAGGGGGATCCGATCCCCCCCCCCCCTCCCCCGAACTGCGCATGGTTTATTTTTTTCCTTAAGCAGGGGACACAAATTCTCTGAATTAGTTTGTTTTAATGTTAAGTTTATTTGTTATATTTGTATTTAATGTAATTTTAGGTTCCTATTGTGATACCCATTCTCTTTGTTCTGATCGCTATATACCTTGTTATTGGACCAATCATAGAAGATCCACAAATTGAACTCCTTTATGCGTTCCTATTTATTATCGGAGGTCTCCTATTTTATTTCCCGTTCGTCTATTTCAAGCTGAAAATTAAAGGTTTTGGTAAGAAATGAATAGTTTTTCTTAGGTTATCACCATTCGAATCGTATTTACTGTATTCTTTAACTAATATTGCTATATCTAAAATTATTTAATAAGTACTAGTATTTTATGATTAATTTGTGATATACTCTCGAAAGTACTTCTTCATGAAACTAAGAAAAGACCAAACACTATCAGTGGAACATAATTTGTTGTAATATTTGAAATTAAATCAAATTATTTAATTATTTCAGAGGGGTTAACAACGGGAGTTCAGCTTCTTTGTGAGGTGGTCCCAAGTCCATACGAACCAGAAAAATGAAACCACGCTAAAACAAAACATGGACTGTATATACATTGCCTACTTTGTTCACAATTTTTCATTGAAATGAACAACGTTATTCCTATGGGTCATGTAAAACTCAAAGGAAATGTTTATGTTCAAGGAAAGTGTAAATGATGCAAGGTTAAGAAATAGTGCACCAAATTTCAATGATTCAAATTGATTGATCTCAAAAATCAAAAGAATATGCAAGTGCTTGGTCACTGGGGGAAAATATGCACAGAGATGAACATCGAAATGTAGATAAATTTGTTAATGTTCAATATGTAACAAAAATGACAAGTATGTATGCTTTGACAAATAGCTTTATCACTCTATATTAAAATTTCCAATGTCTTTGTCCGAGATAAAATTACAAATTGTAAATGTACTTTTTCCCCCATCAATGTATTGGCGCAGTTCCAAAAAAAACCACGTGCAGGGCGGGACAAACAGCTAGTAAGAAGCAGGACTTGGAGCACGTGGATTGGCAGAATCAAAGCATGTAAATATAAGGAATAACTTCAGATTTTTCAATTTTATGACGATGATCAATTTTATGCATAAACGCCTTCGGCGTTTATGCAAATTATCACGCAAGCCAATCGATTGATCACATAAAGAAATTGAAAAATAAGACAGTTATTCCTTAATTCAATGAAAAAAAGATGTTAAACCAAGCTTCTTTTGGATAATTATTACTAATATTAGTGTTTTACATCTTCTTTTTGATGACGTACATTCTTACAACTCTTTTTCACAGCAATAAACTATTTTTACATGTTAATTATGAAAAGTTATTGCAACAAGAGAGATAGAGGTGAGGATATACCCTATTTCAAGCTTATGAAGTATTCTAAACCTTATTTTTGTAACTAAGTATGTAAACCTTAGTTATTAAGAATGTATTAAATCTGAAAAGATATAAAAGATCAAATACTTTATACATGTATGTCATGTCAGTGTTCATATTTTGTTATTTCACAGCTTCATTCATATTGTATTATTTGAATATTTATGTTGAGAGAATTTAAATTCATCAATAAATATGTTTTATGAATAAAGCTTAATATTTTAATCCTTTGTTCATATTGCGTAGAACTTTTTTCTAAGGGTAACGGTCAAACTTAGTATATTCGCCCGTCTACTTATTCATATATGACAGGGTAATGATAGCATACAGTATAAATCTCCCTTCCCATTTTAAAAATATAGTTTGCGTTACCTTAATGTCAGGTAAGAACTGAGAAAATCAGATTGATTGCATGCTGTTTCACGTTTCGAGAATTTTTCACTCATATAAAGACATACAGTAGTGTGCCAATGAAGATAATTTTATTTTTTTTCCCTATATATTTCATTGAAAACAACATTTTGTAAAATCACTGATATAACTACATTTCTTTACAGATTTTATTACAAATTTCTTGATAATCCAAGAAACTGTTGTAGTTTATAAAAACAATAGTTTTTATCTGATCAGCATTTATATTTTAAAAATATTGTAATTTTAGTGTGAAATGAATTTTTAAGTCACATACTCACAATGAATTATATAGTCAACATTGATCTTTAATTTTAGAACTAAAAACTAAATATGTAATGATTTTTTAAATAAAGATAACTACACATTTTCTGGTTTAAGTACTAAAATAGATAATTAAATTGGACAAAAATTGACCATTTGCCAATGATTTTAAAAATTGTTGTTTTCAATGAAATACATAGAGAAAAAAATAAAATTATCTTCACTTTTGGCAAACTACTGTACGTTACTCCGGTGAAAGGCTTTTACATTGCAAAATAACTATGATTAGCAGATGTGAATGTAACAATACCGTGAATCATAAGATAATTTTACAATAGTAAGCATGCATGATTTTGATGTATTCACACTAGAACGTTTGATAATTAGAAGCATAGTAAGTATTGACTTGCGTTTAAGAGTAATGAGACAGAAAACTTTGACTTGAGAATTGAACAAAACTGTGGATATTATAAATCATGAAATTTATCATGAAGAATTAAAAAACAAAAATGAATGCTGTGATAAGAACATTGATTATTCCACATTTCAAGTACACGTTCATGCAATACTATCATCCTCTTTTTTCAAAAGATTGGCATTGAACATGCATAAAGAAATATTTTAAACGTTTGAATTATACCACTTGATGCAGTTCCATTCAGCATTTGTATACAGCAGAAAATCATAGAAGAAGAGTTTTGAGATTCCTTATCTTCTATGATCTGACTGTATGTATTACTCTGTCCTACTGTCTTGTACACATTCTGTGTAAATTTACGATAAGATTAGAAAAAAGACAAACTACACTGTAGGTCTTATGTATTTGTGTTTCAATAAAATAACCTATGCCTGCCGTGTATATAAACTCAGAACATTTTAAGGCTAAGTGATGGAAAGGAGCACATTTGATGGTTTGTATAAACAGTATAGCTGAGTAAATGTATTTAATAATTTGAAATTCTTTTCGTACAAATCATCATTTTATCCTTATGGATAGGGACTAGATCTACGTTTCTCTCTGTTTTCATGTTTGCCTGTTCCACTTGTTTTATGTAGAGTTCTTGTCTAGAAGCTTATATATGTTGAGCTGATTTTAATTGGAATTCGAATCGTCTTGATGAGTAACAGATAATTGTTAAAGAAAATATGGTGCAAATACAGTCAGCAAATAGTGAACATTACATGTACATGTACGTATACAGCATTCACAGAATGCTAATTAAAAAAGAATGTTGAAAAATTATTTAATAAATATACATTTTTTTTTTTGTAAAATACATTAAAGGAACATTTTTCCGCGTGGATCGGAAATTTCCATGGAATCTTTCCAAGCAAACATGAACTTAAAAAACTCGGGTTCGGTATCCTGATTCGTCTTCCTGTAGTTTGTGCATGCCATCTAGGATCCTAGCTGGTGAAGAGCAGACGTGCTTATTTTTCAGTACCCATCCTCCCTCCCCAGTCCCTTAAATTTTGTATGTCTAGTTTAAAATAAGTTGTTAACAATTTATTATACCAAAGTAGTCAACTTCTCTTTTTCTAATAAGAAACTTCGTTTTTTATGCTAAGATATACATGTATATGGTATAGTGCTGAGGAAGTTGTGTTTCCCGTTGTCGTTTTGGGTTTGTTAATTTCTCTTTTTAGCGTCATGGCTTGGAACGCTTCCCTTTTACGGTGATGGGAGAGTCGAGAACAGCAGTGGAGGGGTAGTTTCTAACCTTGTGTATCGTGCGTGTGGTGACTGTCGTTCAGCATAAGTTTGCATAGATTGCTTTCTCCGAAGGGTACTTTTTCCAGGCTCCCTCAATCAAGATGACACTTCTATTGTTTAATTTATATGCTGCCAAATGTTTACCAGCGGCGCATACATCTGTTCATTAATTTATTTTTATGATACGTATATTTTATATCTATTAAATCGCCATGGCAAGCACGCCAAAACAAAATTTTCGTTATTCACTGATTGTAGTTAAAATTGTTTGGTACCTTTATTTAAGGGTTTTCTGATCAATGTATTCTGTCCGACGTGTTTTTATATTGAAACTGTCACTAAAAAACGCATATTAATTCTAAGATTCCAACTCACTAAACTAAAACAATCAAAACAGAGAATATAACTACTCACAAAGTATCGACGAAAACGATATGAATTGAAACTTCAACAATTTCAATCTGTCTAAAAGCCCGCGCTATTGAAATAGTTCGCTTATGATACACATTCAGTAGCGTATTTTTTAAAAAAAAAAATCACGATAACTCAAATAAAGCAAATATCTAATTCCTCTCTCAATTTTATTTTCAAGCAGAAATATTGGTCAAATAACATTCCAATGATTGAGATGTTAAATATATTTGTTTAAGTATCGTCTCTCAATAGGACTATTTTGTTTATCGGAAGCGTCTACTTTGACGCCGTTTGATTTTTTGTTTACTTTGCTATTTATAGCAAGGCAGTCGATCACGATGCAACGTGAACCCAACATATCAAAAATATTGTATAAAACTCCAAAATATCAAATCTTTTACGATAGAGTGATTGATTGATTGATTTTATACTGTTTAACGATAGAGTGAAAAATAAATTTTAATCTAAAGGAATGCATCAAAGTAAGATTTATTGGCGTAATTTTTGGAGTAGAACAGATCAAGAACTCGTGCTTTGAGAAGATGCCAGTCTTGTGATTTCTGCGTGCCTGCCATGTTATAAAGGCGTCACAAAAACATACGAGTGTTGTCCGTAAAGTTCGTCGACAACATTAATAATTACTGACAAACATTGATAAAATAGATGAAACTACTATTTTCATTAAATTCATGTTTCATTTTATTAATATGCAAATTTTCAACAAAAACAAAGCACAAATAGTTATATTTTTATCAGATACAAAAAATACACATATCCGGAGCAGTAAAACGAAAATTCTTGACGTTACCTACCCGACGTCAAAAGTTTAATACGAGTACATGTAACTTTTTTCAACATAGTCATCGTTTAACTCAATGCATGTCTTATGTCGCTTTAACCAGTCATAAAAATGTACACAATATGTTCATGTTTCATACGTAAAATAATATTTAACAATGCCTGTCTCATATCCTGCAATCATCCAACCTCTGTCCGCGTAAAAACGATTAATACGGAGAAGTCACGTTAGGAAATTTATTTTCTACAGCACTGCAATCTTGGAATGATGCTTTTCCTTAATGCATGTCATCCTGTAAACTGTTCCTTCCGTCCAAAAATATTATATGCCACTTAAATACTGATGAACGGCTTCTTTAACTATGTTTTCCCGATTGCTTACAGAATGTATTTGGTCTCAGGTATTTTTCCGATGTTTACGCAGAATTATACCACTGCGCATTGCTCTATCTTTTCCGAAAATGTCCCTTTTTGAACAATTCCGACCCGTATTAATATGTTCTAACTTTGATTGGTCAGCAATTTTACAACTTTGAACGTTCAAACTTTGCATGTTTGACGTGATAACTTCTGTCAAACTAATGTAAAAGTTATCCAGATTTCCGCAGAATTTTATAAAATACAAATGAAATTGATATAGTGATTAATAATTTTTGATTAAAATTTTGCGGTGCTCCGGGTCTCCATTTCAAGTCCATTTATGAAGCCATAATTGAAATTCAACATTTGAAATTGAATAAAATTTTACATTTTTCAATTCACATTTAGTAAAGGATTAGAAATATGCTAAAAATAAATATCAATGTCAAAACATTTATTTAATTCTTAGCTTGTCCACAAACTTTACGGAAAACCCTCGTAAATGGGAAAGTTTTGGTTTAATAATCAGTGGTTAATTCATTTCTATCTGCATTTGTAAATAATCCAAACGAGAACTTATCAATTTCTGTCTCTCTTCTTTCAAGGCTTTTTCTTGAGGCGTATCTTCATCCTGTAAAATAATATGTGATGTGAAATGCTATAAGAATTAGTTCTCCCACTTTCGTATCTTAATAAATGTTTTCTGTGCTCAACTGAACCGACCGAAACAACATTATCCAGAATGCTATAAATTTACAATATCCAGGTTTTTAATATCTCAGTGATGACATGTACATGTATTTGGAATATAAAACTTACGAAAATTGCAGGTTATTTTGTTTCCAATCTATTTCAATAAGATTCGACATCATGAAAGATAAATCAAGTTGAAACATATTTTAAATGAAGTCGTAAGGATTGCTTAAATCTGACTTTTAAAAAATAGGATGTAAAAAAAAAATAAAAGTATGGAATTCGTTACACAAAGTATCCACTTTGCGAATAAAATACCTTTTTAGCTCACCTGAGCCGAAGGCTCAAGTGAGCTTTTCTGATCACATTTTGTCCGTCGTCCGTCCGTCCGTCTGTCTGTCTGTCTGTCCGTCTGTAAACTTTTCACATTTTCGACTTCTTCTCAAGAACCACTGGGCCAATTTTGACCAAACTTGGTACAAAGCATCCTTGGGTGAAGGGAAATTGAAATTGTTAAAATGAAGGGACATATCCCCTCGCAAGGGGAGATAATCAAGAAAAGACAAAAATAGGGTGGGGTCATTAAAAAATCTTCTTCTCAAGAACCACTGGGCCAGAAAAGCTGAAACTTATGTCAAAGCATCCTAGGGTAGTGTAGATATTAAATTGTTCAAATCATGACCCCCGGGGGAAGGGCGGGGGCCACAATGGGAAATCAAATTTTTACATAGAAATATATAGGAAAAATCTTTGAAAATCTTCTTCTTAAGAACTACTGGGCCAGAAAAGCTGAAACTTATGTGAAAGCATCCTAGGGTAGTGTAGATATTAAATTGTTCAAATCATGACCCCCGGGGGAAGGGCGGGGCCACAATGGGGAATCAAAGTTTTACATAGAAATATATAGGAAACATCTTTGAAAATCTTCTTCTCAAGAACTACTGGGCCAGAAACGCTGAAACTTATGTGAAAGCATCCTAGGGTAGTGTAGATATTAAATTGTTCAAATCATGACCCCCGGGGGAAGGGCGGGGCCACAATGGGGAATCAAAGTTTTACATAGAAATATATAGGAAAAATCTTTGAAAATCTTCTTCTCAAGAACTACTGGGCCAGAAAAGCTGAAACTTATGTGGAAGCATCCTAGGGTAGTGTAGATATTAAATTGTTCAAATCATGACCCCCGGGGGAAGGGCGGGGCTACAATGGGGAATCAAAGTTTTACATAGAAATATATAGGAAAAATCTTTGAAAATCTTCTTCTCAAGAACTACTGGGCCAGAAAAGCTGAAACTTATGTGGAAGCATTCTGGGATAGTGTAGATTCTAAATTGTAAAAATCATGACCCCCGGGGGAAGGGTGGGGCCACAATGGGGAATCAAAGTTTTACATAGAAATATATAGGAAAAATCTTTGAAAATCTTCTTCTCAAGAACCACTGGGCCAGAAACGCTGAAACTTAGGTGGAAGCATCCTGGTATAGTGTAGATTCTAAATGAAATCATGACCCCCGGGGGAAGGGTGGGGCCACAATTGGTAATCAAAGGTTTACATAGAAATATATTGGAAAAATTTTTGAAAATCCTCTTCTCAAGAACCACTGGGCCAGAAAAGCTGAAACTTATGTGGAAGCATTCTTGGGTAATGTAGATTTTAAATTGTTCAAATCATGACCCCCAGGGGAAGGGTGGAGCCACAATGGGGGGATCAAAGTTTTACATAAAAATATATAGGAAAAATCTTTGAAAATCTTCTTCTCAAGAACCACTGTGCCAGAAAAGCTGAAACTTATTTGCACATGGAAGGATCCTGGGGTAGTTGATTTCAAAATGTCTTAATTATGATCAGTGGGGTAGGGTGGGGATACATAATGTATTACAAGGGGGAAATCTGGTAAAGAACAGAATTGTCAAAGCTTCTCAGGTGAGCGATGTGGCCCATGGGCCTCTTGTAATTAAATGATCTTGAAAAATTCTATACATATTTATTCATATATAAACACTCTACATTAATACCAAAGCTCATTTCGAAATTCAGTATACTTCCCGAAATATGCTGAAATCGACTCCAAAATTGACCTATATGTTTTACTCAACATTAGCTTGGGTTCCTGGTCATTCAAATGTATACTCATGATGTTTGAACTGTAGCAATCAATTGCATTTGCACAGTCTTTTAACAATTTCAAGTTGATTTTTTACTCCAGATAGTAAGGTTAAGTCTATAATAATCCCTTTCGCGAGTAAATAATTGGAAGACGTCTGCTTTGACAACAATTGCACAGTTTTTTGTTAATAAATGTGAAAATAGTTATGACTGAACACAATTTATTAGAGCTTGTGTACAATTTTCAACCCCAATTTCTCACAATGGCCTCTCTTGGTCTTTGAAGAACATTTCAATGAGTTATTTTAGTCTCATTTTTATTTATCTTATATTATTTATATATTATTTATATATTTATTTATTTATTATTTATAATTTATCTGATCATTAAAACTATGAAAGTTGTTTTTGTACAATAAATTTCTCCACTTGCATAATTCTCTTATTCTACTAACTTCTCAAATACATTTTTTTTTCAGAAGTGCATTGCAAAAGGAAATAACTTCTCTCAGTAGAATACAAATTTTTAGAGTATTGACCAGGACCAGAACACCTGACCAAATTGTCAAGATGTTGAAAAATCTTGTAAAATTATCCATGCTTTTACTTTGTTTTCTTTTAATATGCCAAGAAGCAGAAAAGATGTTCAAAGAAATAATGCATTTTCACTTTAGATTCAACATAACCCTACCCTTACACCAACACCAATGACCTAGGGTCATGAATTGAGGGTACTTCTATTTGGATGAAGTACCCTCACGATCATAACTCTGCACTTAGTTTTTTCTGCACTTTGTTGAAGATTTTCAAAGAATTTACACATTTTCACTTTGTTATCAGTAGATCCCTCCAATGAGAAACAAAAGCCCATCAGCCTGGGACCACAGGCTTTTAAAGAAGCAAACTATTTGTTTATCTGCTCAATTAAGAGAATGAATGCATTTTCACTACATAATTGATAGATCCCCGCCCTAACACCAGAATGGTGACAGAACCCCCTGACCCAGTGGCGATGAAATTCACAATTTTTCATAAGAGACACTAGTACTCTTGCTCATCATAACTATATAATTACATGTAGTAAGTTGATTTAATACTCAGGAGCAGATAATCAATAGAGCCCCGCCCTAACACCAGAACCCCTTACCCAATGGCCATGTATTTCACAATTTTGAAAGAGGCACTCTTACTCATCGTAACTAAAGACTAAAGTTTATTTAATACACAGATTTTTCAAAGAATTAATGTTTTTTTCACTAATCAATCAATAGAGCCCCGCCCTTAGACCAGATCCCATGACCCAGGGGCCGCTTTCAACCAATGAAATACTTGAAAATTTTAAGAAACACATTTACTAAAGAATCATAAAAGAAAGGAAGTTCATAGCCAGAAGACTGCAACGAAATTTTACATAATGTATTTTCTATCATTCACAAAAGAGAGGAAGATAATAGTCAGAAACTTAAAAACACTTCAACTCTGTACCTTAAAATAGCTTGCAAACATCCCCGGATTTGCAGAATTATTAAATTATGTACTGAGCAGGGGGCACAGGAAGCTATTATTAACTGCAAAAACTCGAAAGCTTCTTGAGATTTCGACCGAAAATTCAAGGTTTACGCACAGAGAGAAAATATTAATTAACGACCTTGACATTTGAACCTCAAAATCAACAAGGGAGTCTTCCTTAGGCCATAGGAAGACTTCTCAAGATATCGCGCCGATATGAACGTATTAAAACAAACATTTCTTTTTTATTAATGACCTTGACCTTTGACCTCACAATCAACAGAGGTTTTTCTTTGGCTATGGGAAGTTGTGTAAATTTTCACTGCAAAAGCTTTAAGGTATTTTTTAATTCGCTTGAAAACGAAAGTGTTACAGACAGACAGAACTACAGACAGACGGGCGGACGGAGGAACGGGCAGACATACCAAAATTAATAATCCCCACTTTTAGCAGAGGACATCAAGGAACTCTCAAAAGTAAGTACAAGAAGGATATGGAGAAAACGAACAGTATTCAATATCAAAGTCCATAAAACAATACGAAATAGGAGCAGAGCAAACACGGACCTCCGAAACATCAGAGGTGGGATCAGGGGCCATGGAGGAGTAGTAGTAAGAAATGATAAATCACACCCATCGCGTACTCTTTGTAATGATTCCGTAAAAGGAGTAGTAAATTCGGTATGAAAATAATGGCACAACTATTTATATGAAAAACGCAGTAAACATTCGAACCTAACGACAGACTATATTTTTGATCATTTGTGGGCTTCCCGAGGAGAAATTTAACTCTTTGTAATGATTCGGTAAAAGGAGTAGTAAATTCAGTATGAAAATAATTTCCCAAAAATGCTTTGTGACAGAAGTATTTGAAATTTAGATAATGGATTTTGAGAAATTGTCAAAATTAAAGAAAATTTAACAGGAAACGCCCGATGACAGACAAAGGACTGCACCCAGACATCTTAAAAACTCAGCATATGTATGGGAACTTCATATTTTTAAGCTTTTAGGTTTGGTATGAAAAAATGAAATATGTCAAATATTATTTCAAAATAAAATAAATTCTGACAAAAACAATTTACCTTTTCGTCACTTTGGAAACGTCCTTTCTTCTTTTTCGATTTTTCGAGACGGCGATCAATATCTCTAAGAGCTTTGTATAGCTTGTTGAGAGTTGATACGCTTTCGTATTTTTCAAATTCATTCTGTGTCTTTTTTGTCTGAGATTGCCTTGATATTCCTTCCTCTGATACTTCTGTCGTAGCTGATATTGTTGGATCCTCCTCTCTAGTAACACAGAAAGCTTTTGGACCATTCCAGCTAAATCCAACATAGAAATAAACTGTCCTGTTCCATAGCACGGAAGAGGTAGGAAAGGAATTTGTGATACCAATGCTAGAAGAATTTCCCGAGAGACTAGTTATTGCATATTTAATTTCCCATCCATCTCTCAAAAGTATTCCTTTCAATCTCTGTAACCTTGTTCTAACTTTTTCAGTTCTAAAAACGTCCTGATAACGTGAATTGTCACCAAGCTCTTCATAGTATATGATGTCCTTCCGACCACTGCCTAAAAAGAAGTAAGTTGTTTCTTTTTTACGATACAGATTTGTATCCTCTTGTCGGGGGTAGATTTTTCGAAAGGCTTTTTTCCATCTCCGTATCGCTTCGGCGATTTCTTCAGGGGAACAGAGCAGGCCTTGATATTTTCGTCTGCTTTCTGTTGGCCAATGAATAATAACAAAATACATGAATGCTTCTAGATTTGGACGATCTTCATAACTTGGATCCGTGACCATTTTGTAAGCCATACTGCTCCACTGAATCATACTTTCAAAATCCATATCTTCATCTGAGTCAATGCTTCTCACAAGAGAAACACCGAGTAATGTTAAATAATCATGCAGGCTGGCAAAACCGTGATCTATAATCCACTTTGCCTTTTCGTATATCTCCAAAAAGATATTATCTGGTGTATCTTCATTTCGTAAACGCAATATGCTGACCAAGGATCTACCACCGATACGATTTATTCTTCTTCTGCAGTAAGATGCAACATCTTTCGGTAATAAATTGGTCGGCATTTCAACTGCTCCTTCTCCAAAATAGATATCAAGATTTTCTCGTAATCTAATGACTTCCAAGGAAGGATTAAAAGTTGACTCAGCTTTGTAAATATTTTTCAGTTGAGAATATTTATCATCAAGTTTAGTCAAAGTGTTTTCTGAGCGATGATGCAATCCTTTCAAAAACACTAAACGTTTCCGTTCAAAGATTTTGAAATCATTTGGTGTGTTTTCGGAAACAAGAAACTTGTGAAGTTTTCCGCGATCAGGATTCCATAATGTAAATAAATCCAGCACCATAACAATCGTTTGCAGTTCTGCAAAATACCCAGCATCATTGTCTGTTGCGAATTGTTCACGCTCACTAACCAATTGCTCTTTTTCAAAATAGCTCATTCCTTTCACAGCTATTTCGACGACGTCTTGAATTTCTTTCGTTGTCAGGAACCTTTCGTCCTGCAAGCATGATTCATATATGTCTGCAAGACGTTTTAAGTATATTTGACCATATGTATCCCACAGATAAGAATTTTCTGGCCTCTCAGTAACGGCTTTCTCAGCAAATTCTTCTGCTTTTGTCCAGTTTTTCAGAAATATATACAAACGAGCTGTTTGTTGAGCTATCATTGCATCTTTTGTTCTCTCAAATCCACATTCTAGAACTTCTGCTGCACGATCCCCACCTTCCCTCTGAAGAATATGTGTAACAAGAGGAGAAAACATTTCTTTTTTACCCTTTTCAGATTCTTCCCTCTTTTTCAAAATATCTTGAAGTATGCGCTTCAAAACCGTGATCGAAAAGCTTTTAGTTTTTAGCATTGCACATTCGAGAAATTTGCAAACTACCTCATGCAAGGGTACGTTTTCTTCTTTCAACATGTTTAATAAAAGTGCACGTGCAAACACTTTGCTGACAATCTGAATGCCTTGGCTTCCAGTATTCACTTGAATATTTCTACTTAAAAGAACTTCGATTGCGTTACTTAGATGCGTTTCCCAATCTCCTTCATAGCCTGCCTTTACTCTATATCTCATAGAAAATGTCATAATGGTCTTTTTGGCTCTACTATCTTCGCTCATTATAAAATCAAATGAACTCAGTGGTATGGACTGAAATTCCATGTCAAATGTATTAATGAGAGAGAGATACAAAAGCAATTTCCTTTCCTTTTCATCTTCAACCCCCTTCACATAAAGAGCTGCATTTCTTTGGATGTAATCTGCATCGAAATTCTCCTTAAGGAGATTGAAAGATATCAGATACTTTGGATTAACATCTCGTTTTGGATTTTCGTTGTGTTTTTGACATAATAGTTCGTGTTTTCGTCTAAACCATTCCAATTCATCAGTTTCCAAACTTTGAGTCAAAATAAATGAATTTATGTCTATAGAATTTGGTAGATGTACACGTCTTATGCAACGAAAAAGTAAACAGTAAACCTGCAGTTTTGACTCACTGTGTCTACTTGCTACTTTAGCTTCCTGTTCTAACTTGAAACGAAGACTTGTTATCCTCAATTCATCTTCGTTGTCGATCAGAACCACAGGGGGCATAGGGTTTTTGTCTTCATATGCTCGAAGCACTTGTATCTGATTATGCGTCTGATCTGTAAGTCTACGTACAATGCAGCATCTGTAAATTTTTTTCAAAGACCATAAAATCTGCATTGCAATTGTTGTTCCGCCACAACCTGGTTGATGATATAGTTTAAATACGACCACTTTGGAGTCATCCTCATTAAATTTACCCATCAATAAATTGTGCAATCTTTCTGCAATTTGGCCGTGCTGTGAACGTTTTAAAGCATGGTCCTTAAAATACATATTCCACCAGGAAACTCTTGTGCCTCGATAAAATTCTTCTTCTGCTTTTCGACTTTGCTCCTCTAACTTTTTTGTGTCCTTGGTTATCTCTGATTCTTCGCACTCTTTTTTACTAAGAATATCTAGATCACACAGTTCACTGCGAAGTTTGCTCTTTAAATGGCAAGATCCACCACAGGAGTTTGAAAGTTGGCATTCTGAACTTCTTTGAATGTTTTTGACTTCTTTGACAATTTGAGTTAAGTATTGCCAAGGAATTCCAGCTACACATCTTTTGCGGAATGTGTCAGAATCAACACTAGATCTTCGTATCAGCTCATATTTCCATTTATCGAGAAGACTAGCATCCTCTGCCAAAACTATCCACTGATTTTGAAATTTTAAGATGACTTCTTCCGCAATTTCTAACATTATGTCATAATTTGTTGAAAAGATTGCAAATATCACAAATGCTCTTCCAGGAGGAATACAATCTTGATAAATTCTTATTGCTTCTTTAAAAGACTCGCTGCGCTTTGTTTTCCAATCCAATTTCTTGTACGTTTTCATATCAAGTGGCTCATATCCGTTACAAAATACCCAGCCTGGAAGAGCTTGGCGATTGTTTTCAACTTCTGCTATAATATTGTCCTCTTTCTTCCTGTCAAAATCTTCGATAATGTATGGTTTTACAATATAATATGGAATCTTATCCACAGCATTAAACAACCCTTCTCCCTCAACAGTGGGATGAAAATCAAAAATAACACATGGATCTATATCAATCAAAAATTCAAATTTTTCTGGCTCTAATTTCTCTTTAACGGAAGGGTCCAGTGGACTTAAAATCAAAACTGGATATATCTCGTTGACAAGCTTATTTCCGCTACCAGCAGAGTACAAGTCCAGAAAATGTTGACGCAGGTTTGCACAAGTCTGCAAATTATTCCGAGATTTTTCCATTTTTTCTCGATTATCACAAATATCTGATTTGGTTTCATTGTAATGTTTAAGTTCCTCGTCATTCATCCTGCTTGGTCGCCCTTCTTTGAAAGTGTAAACACTGAGGACATTTCCACTGATTTTTTCCCGTTGGTAAAATGTTCTATATTTTGTTAGTTCAAAACTAGGCAGGACATCAATTTCTACTACATAGGTTGGAAAGGCATCGGGGTTTTCTGTGATTTTAATAAATTGTGGTGGCCTGATACATCTCAAAATTAAATGAAGCTGATCGGCAAAAAATGATGTCTGTAAGGTTTCATATACTATCTGAGTAATTTTTGATGGCCTTGCTTTGAACCCTTTTATTATTCCGCATTTTTCTCCATATCTATCTATCTTTTCTTCTATTCCAAAATAAATAATTCCATTTGTTCGCTCTGTCAGACAAGCCGCAGTGAAATTGCATAGGAACTTTTGTATGCATTTTATAAGCGATTGTTCAGAACCATCACCAAAATATACGAAATTTTGAATGGGTTCTATAAGATTATGTCTATACAAATTTGCTGATCTCACAACGGCATTTTTATGATATGTTTGTGCAGGATTTGTCAAGGTATCTAAAGCTCTTAATCTTTGCCATGGAGGATCTGTCTCTTCGTCTAAATTATTAGCGCCAGGTTCCAACTGTTGGTTTTCCAAATTTCCAACAAGTAAAAAGGGCCCCTCTGATTTTTCTTTATCTAGAATTGCATCTTTTGTTTGTAGCAAAGTTTTTTTATACCCATACGGCATATCTGGACAGACTTCTTTGATGTCATCTAGAGTGAATTCAGCAAACAGACGTCCACTTATTTTTTCTTCTTTAAGCATCTCTAAAACTGATTCATCCAACTCTTTCTCCAAAAACAGAGGCTGCAAAGCTGCTCCTAAATTTGCAACTGAAATATCCTTCAAAAGAACTTCCCCTTTAGATGCATCTTTCATCTCTCGGCTTCCTGCTGGGGGTAAATGTTATCAAATATTATATATACATTATCATAATTTATTTCTGACTGTGGGAATTTCTGTAGCTTTAGAAGTATAAAAAAAATAGGATTCATTATCATTACAATAATCTATTTTTTTGTTATGAAGTAATCTTGAATATGTGCTGATTGGATGCTGTTAGGACAAAAAATGCCGATGATATCCCAGAGAGCTCATTCGAAATACCAAATTCAAACGTGATTCGAGATCTTTTTAACCAACCAGATTGAGGATTTCTTATTAGATTTGACTGATTGATTGATTGTATGTTATTTTACATCCCATTAGAGAATTTTTCACTCATATACAGACGTCACCCTATACCATATCGTTGAAGGGTTTAAAATTTTTACCTTTACTAGGCATTCAGGGCCATTAAGCATTCAGAAATCTTTATTGTGCCATCGCAGCTGTAACGTTGAAATTTGACCCAGGTTGAAAATTGACCCGGGGGGGGGGCATTTTTCAACGTTGAATACTGAGACCAAAGGTGTTGAAATTAGACCCTAGTCGGTTTAAAACTGAGTTTGTGGAATTTTGATCATGAAACCGGTTCCAAATTCAACAGCATAAAACACATATTTATGGCTTGGTTTTCACAACAGTGATTTAATCCATAGGCATTGGGAACGGGGGGGGGGGGGGAGGGGGAGCTAGGGATGATTAGTCCCCCCTCCACACATTTTTGCAAAGATAGACATAATAAAGGCATTGAACAAAGTGAAATTGGTTTAGCCCCCCCCCCTTTCAACAAGCACGTTACAGTGTAGTCAAAGAAAGAAGAAATTGGATCCCCCCCAATAGGATTTTCGGGTTTGTACTACTAAATGGACAAATTTTCTCTTCTTTTTTTTCTTGTCAACTTTGTTTCAGATTTGATTTTTTTTTCTTTTTTAATTACCACCCACACCTCCGCACTTTCAATTTGCTTCCGACACCAATGTAATCAATACACACTTAATTCAGAATTCAGTAATTCAGTTATATTCTTAGAATTAAATATTAATAAAAATAACTTAAATTTCAAAGTATAATGTTTCAAATATATATAGGGCTCACTTTCTAAACACCAGATTTCCAGGATTTTTGTTTTATGCCCTATTCAAAGTTATGTTGGTATTGATGAATGCTATAGATTTTAGAAAGTATTGTCAAAAAATGAAGTTATCATGCTTGAAGATAACTAAAATTGGGTACTGATCAAAATGTACATATATACACGGGATTGTAGGTTTATTTCTATTATTCTTGAAAAGGGAAATAAATTAAACCGAAATATAAATATAGAGATACTGATAAATCCCGTAAAACAACTTCCCAGTTCAAAAAATGTTCAAACTCTGAGTTGAGGTCAATATTCAAATGGATCAATTTTCAACTTGTTGAGGTCATCAGGGATAAGAAAAAAAATTATGTTGTTGAAAAATGCAATTCAACGACTTTTGGTCTCAATTTTCAACGGAGAAAAAAAACACCCCCGGTTCAATACTATAGTATTCAACATTGAAAAGTGAACTTAGGGTCAATTTTCAACTCGGGTCAATATTCAACGTTACACCGGCTGTGTCAAAGAAACGCCTTAGAATACTACCTTATAACACAAAACTTTAATTCCAATCTGTTGAACTTGCTCTACACAAATTTGGCTTACATAAAAGTTTTATTACATAATGTAAAAGATGTCTTAATTTGCTTTACGTCTTTGCATCCTTGCTAGTAAACGAGTCAAACATTCTTAACTTTATGTAAAAAAAAATGTTTTGAAAAGGTATTCTAAAATCATGACATTTGTAGCCCTTTAACAGTAGGTATAGAATAATTTACCGCATAATTGTAAAACATGCTATTTTCTCTAAATGCATGGATACCTATAGTTTTTTATCCTTAAATATATTTGATGATCATTTTTCAGTAAGAAAATATATAACTGGTACTTTTACTAACGATAGGTCCACGGGACTTCTAGGTCACCCGAGTCTCATACACTGTATAGCATCTTTCCAACAATTGATTTCTGTCGATATTGTACCTCTTCTGGTTTGTACTTATCAAAAAGGAAGAGAAAAGTAGCATTTGGGCTTGAAACTTTGCAACAGCAATAAATAAAATAATGATTTTTTTATTTAATCTCTTTTTGTGGGAAGATTGCAATATTACTAGAACTGTAAGAGTAGACTTTTAAAGCCATATATGGCGTAACTGATCAAAAAATATATTTTTGAAAAATACAAAATAAAGTAAAGAAATAATCTTTTGTATTTTCTTCCGAGTCGGAGAAAATTCCGAGAATCCAAATTAAATTGTGATATCTTTATAACGCAATTGACTTAGATTTTGTAATTTACGGAAAAGTTCTATCTTTATATAAAGTAATGATACAAATAATAGGTTCTTATAATTTTAGTCTAATAATTTTCATTGTACATACGCCATATATAGCTTTAAAAGAATTTTACAGAAATTTTAATTCAAGTTACCATGGCAACATCATTCATCAAAATAAAACCAGAATGTAGAGTCTGTCTTCTGGTGTGTACTTATATTAAAGGAGGAGAAAAGTAGCAGTTGGAATTGGAAATTTTACAACAGCAATAAATAAAATAATGGCAAGATTGGAATAAGACTAAGGAGACTGTAATAAGACTGTAGGAGAAGCTTTTATTAAAATTTTACAGAATTTTCAATTTTAGTTTCGCTGGCAAAATCATTCATCAAAATAAAACAAGAGGCCCACGGGCCTTATAGGTCACCTGAGTATCATGTAACAACTTTCCAGTGATTGTATTTGGTTCGTGTTTTAATCCAAAAGCCATGAAATTCACAAATTTTGAAGGTGCATCATTGCTTATCAAAGGGCAGGTTTCAAAGCATTATTTTTAGTCAAAGTACCCCCCTGGTACCCCTGACCCAGCGGCCCTGAAATTATCTATTTTGAAAGAGGCCCCTTTCTTCATTATAAGGCCAGCATTTTTTTTTATGTTTAGATTAAGTTATGAACATGAGAATAAAAAAGTCCCGAAGGAGAAGGAAATAAAAAAAAATTTTGATAAATCAATCAATAACATTTGTACATTCTTTTTTTATGCTATTCTAATAAGCTCCTTACCACTGGACACATAATGCTTACAAATACGAAAGTAGAACATTTAATTGCTTATTTCATCATCTGCCAGTTTGGGCCAGTTATATAAATTTTGTGATGTTGGTCAAAATATATTTTAAAAAATCAATTCTTTAAAAGTCTTTCAATATAATCTTCATTTTTTTTAATATGTGTTAGGTGAATGTGTAGACATTGTTCTAAAATTTACTTGATGCCTAAAACAGACGGAGTATTGGGGAGTAGGGTGAACATTTTTTCAATTAAGTGTAAAATAATTTTTCTGGCTGATACAAATGATACTACATGCCTGTATATATTTGTGTATTCTTGCCTTTTAATAGTAATAGTTGAATTTTTTTTATTTCTTCAGGTTATTGTTTATTTCTTCCTCAAATGGACTTAACTTCTCCCATAGTTTTATTCATTACATCTGATGCATAAGCAACCCTTTTCTGAAGAATGATGCTTAGACTGTAAGCTATAACAGAGACCTAAACAATGTCGCTGGCAATATGCAATAGCTACCACGGGCAGTTTGAAACCTGGGGGAGGAAAATAATTTACAGACAGATACTTTTGAAACGAATACATAATTATCTCACCAGCATGTCATTGTGCAACAAAGTCGTCAGCATTTTATTTGTCTTTTGAACGGGTGAAACGTTTTGAATGGCACTCGTATCGATGAATTTTACACTAAACCAAGCTATCTTCTCAGATCTAGCTTTATTTACCCGCCGTTTCATCTTAAAACCGGAAGTGCGAGTTCGTAAATTTGAAATCTCGATCCCGACTCAAATTTGACAATTGTTTTATCTTTTTCTGAAAATTCAAAACCTTGAGCGGAGGGTTTGTAAAACTGAAAATAAAATAAATCCTGGTCTTAGATATGTAATTAGATCATTAGTATATTAACCAGGAGCAAAGGATAAGATGTTCAAAGAATTCATGCATTTCACTATATAATCATTAGAGCCCCACCCTAAAACAAGAACCCCTGACCCTGGGGCCATAAAATTCAAAATTTTGATAGAGGCACTCTTGCTCATCATAACTATGTACTTAGTTAGTTTATTTCATACCCAGGAGCAGAGAAGAAGATTTTCAAAGAATTCATGTATTTTCACTATATAATCAATAGAGCCCCGCCCTAACACCAGAACCCCTGACCCTGGGGCCATAAAATTCACAATTGTGGTAGAGGCACTCTTGCTCATCATAACTATGTACTTAGTTGGTTTATTTAATACCCAGGAGCAGAGAAGAAGATTTTCAAAGAAATAATGCATTTTCACTACCTACTTATTTAGCCCCGCCCTAGCACTAGAACCCCTGACCCTGGGGCCATGAATTTCACAATTTTGGTAGAGGACTCATTGCTGATTACAATCATGCAAACAGTTTGACTGCTTAATGTCCAGGAGTAAAGAAGAAGATTTTTAAAGATTGCATTAATTTTAGTGGTTTTGGCCCCACCCCTCAGGCCCCAGGGGGGCAGGGATCATGAAATTCACAATTTTGGTTCCCCTTCACCCATAAATGCTTTGTGCCAAATTTGGTTGAAATTGGTTCAGTGGTTGCAGAGAAGAAGCTGAAAATGTTCAAATGTTAACGGACGACGCACGACGACGGACGAAAACAGATAGCAATAGGTCACCTGAGTTTACTCAGGTGACCTAAAAAATCAATAAAGACAATTATGTATCCTGTATTATGATTAGACTAAAACTGTAGAAGTAGCAATTTAAAAGTATTTTACAGAAATTTCTACTTTAAGGTAGGATTCTTCTCTGGTTTCTGACTAGATGGAATATTCAAAGTACATTTGTTTATATTTCTTATATATTTAGATGTAAGAGATTTAAAAGACCAAATTTTTCTTTCCTCATCACAATTATACAACTTTAAATAGAAATGGTAAACTGCGTTTGAAAACTAGCAGGGACTATATATGGTGGCGTATGAAAATATCTTCTTTTCTGCCTCTCAAAATTATTATAAAACATTAAATTTAGTTATAATTTTGACGCAATTAAAGAGTAGACGAAATTTTGAAATGTAAGTTAAATTAATAATAAGGGACTAAAGTTTAAAAATATATCAAATAAATAAGATTTTTCACACATACTATAACTATGTTGGCTTTTAAATGCTTCAAATCTAAGTACAGATTTGAGCCAAAAATTCGTAAAAAGTGTTATTTCTCTCTAAGTAAACGATCAAAACTTTTAGTTTTTGTATCATTTTGTACCTTTATGTGACAGCTTTACTACATGTGAAAATTGGAAAAAGTTAAATATAGGAAGCACATAAAAATAACTAATAAATCCTAAAAAATTAAGAAAAGTAGAGGAAATTCGGATTAGCAAATATCCATTTTATTTGAATTATCCATGTCAATTTGGTAATATCATCTTATAGGCCCTATATGGTAGTATCTTTTTATGCAAAAAGAAAAACATTCAATCTTTTAAATTACAAGTAGAGATCGCATGACTGGAAACAGTAATTGTTCAGGAAAAAGGTAATGACCTTGACCTGACCTTGCCTCTAATATCAAACGGTCAAATTTAATCTCACTGATACCATCACTTAGTGATATTGTCTTCTTGATTCTGTGAAAATTTTATTAATTTTTAAATACAAGAAATGTGAGAAGAATCCTACCTTAAATAACCACAGCGACACTGCTCATTCAAATCAAAAGCCGATGCACAGAATTATATCTATCTTAGTGAAGGCTACTTGTGTCCCAAGTAATATTGAAATCAGATCAATACTGTAGAAGGTGTAACAATTTTAAAGTATTTCACAGAAATTTCTATTTTTAGTAACCACGGCAACACCGTTCATTGAATTGATAAACTGATATACAGAATTATGTATCTTAGTGTACTCTACTTGTGTGCCAAGTTATATTAAAATCAGAGCAAAACTGTAAGAGGAGCAGTATTTTGAAAAACAATTGTTAAAACAGACAGACGGACGATGGACACATAACTATCGGATAACCAGAAGAGCTTAATATTGCATTTCCAAAAAATAATCACTAGTGCCCATCCCAATGGAATCCTTGACCCTCAAATTACACAACCTTGCACATCATAACTGTTTGATTAATACCAAGGAGAAGATTTCAAACATTAATTCATTTCAGTGTATAATCATAAGAACCCTCTCCCATTATTTGACCCGACTCTGCGGCTTAGAAATTCACAAGTTTGTGACCCTTGCTCATCATAACTATTGAATTTTAGATCATCAGGGAGCAGAGGGGGGAATTTTGAAACAAGAGGCCAATGGGCCTTATAGGTGATGTAGATATAGGTAACTTTCAAATTTTTGACTTTGGTTCATGTTTTAAACCATAGGCCTTGACATTCACAATTTTTGAAAGAGGCACCAATGCTCATCATGACTACTGTATACACTTATCATGTTTAGTTTGGTTACGTAGTACCCATAGGCAGAGTAGGGGAAGAAAGTAATACATTGCGACTTATCAGTAATATTAAACAATAATCTGTAGTGACCCCACTCCACAGGAACCCCTGACTCTGGTTCCAAAAATTTCACAATTTTTGAAAGGGCACGACTGCTTATCATTAATATGTTAGACTATTACCAAGGAGCAGATTTCAGATCATTAATTCATCTTCAGAATACCGGTATAATTAGAGCCCCCCTCCCTTGGTACGTCCTAACACCAGAACTCCTGACCCTGGGGCCATAAATCTCCCAATTTTAGAGGAGGCATCCATTCCCATCATCACTATGTAAATACATGTAGTTAGTTTATTTCATACCAAGGAGCAGAGATGAAGATTTTCAAAGAATTAATACATTTTCAATATATAATCAATATAGCCCGCCTTAACACCAGAACCCCTAACCCAGGGGCCATGACATTCCTAATTTTAGAAAAAGGCACCCTTTCTCATCATAACTATGTATATACACTGTTAGTTTATTTCATACCAAGGAGCAGAGAAGATTTTCAAAGACATAATCCATTTTCAATATACATTGTATAATCAATATAGCCATGCCCTAAAACCAGAACCCGTGACCTAGGGGGCCATGAATTTCATAATTTTTGTAGAGGACTTAATGTTTTTTACAATCATGCCAGCAGTTTGACTGCTTGATGTCCAGGAGTAAATAAGAAGATTTTTAAAGATTGCATTAATTTCAGAGGTTTGGCCCCACCACTCAGGTCCCAGGGGGGCAGGGACCATGAAATTTACTATATTTGTTCCCCTTCGACCATAGATGGTTTTCGCCAAAATTTGTTGAAATTGGTTGAAGGGTTGCAGAGAAGAAGCTGAAAATGTTCGAATGTCACACGATACACGACGGTCGATGACTATCAATACATGTAGAACCCCTGACTGAGGAGCCATGAAATTCAAAATTTTCAAAAAGGCATCCTTGCTTATAATAACAAAACACATAGTTAATTTAAACATTTTCCAGAAATAGAGACTGATTGTCAGAAATAGAGAATAAGATTTTCAAAGAATTAATGCATTTTTACTTTATTTGTGGGACACTACTTCGTGTTTACATTGACAGGTTCTGACGAGGTTTGAACATGTTAAAATTTTAGCAAAAAAAATGTCCTTTGAGTTATCCTTTATAAAAAATTTAATACAATTGTTTTCCCTCATTGTTGTACCATTTGGGGCAATATGACGGTCTTAGCAAACTGGTAAACATTTTATACACCTCCAATTAAAAATGCTTCTCCAACTCAAATTAATGCCAATAAATGACTTTTTTTAATAAAACTGTCAATCTCGAAATTTGAATCTCGTATTGCGAATCTCGAATTAGCCGTATTGACTCTCCTGCATGTCATCGTAATAATCCTTTGTAATACTTGTTCAAAGAATTGTAAGTCTGTTGAGAATTAAGATGAATCTTTTTATTTAATATACATTCTCTTGGATTATTTTAGATTTACCTTTCTAAGAAATAATACATAGAGAATAATACATACCCTTTTCCATATCACATCCTGTATCAGCCCGAGACACCAATATCAGCCAGAGGGCCGAAGGCCCGAGGGCTGATATTGGTCGAGGGCTGTGCAGGATGTGATGTGGAAAAGGGTATGTTTTATTATTTTTTTTACATACTTAGTAATAAAATACAGAACACATTATGTTGAGAAGAAAATAAGTAACATGGTCTATTGTCTCATACGGTTTAAGTTTGTTTCTACATGTACTTCTATTTCAAATGTGCCCGATCTGTATTTTGAAAATAATCTATGGTTTGCAATTAGATAATCCTTACATTCAAAAAGTTAAAATTAAGAGGACGTATAACCCCCAAAATATGTGTATGATCACAAGAACTGTTTTTTGAGGTTTGATTTTCTAGGGGTGTGATATTGATCCGTATCAGCCCCGCAAATCCATATCAGCCCTGCAGGGCTGATACGGCTATTGTGACGTCAGGCATATCGCATATGCAAAAATCCTGTATTTATTACTAAGTATGTAATAAAGTTCAAGATTTCAAAAGTCTATAATTTCATTACCTTTGATAAAAGGTGCCAATTACGAAGATAAAAAATATAGAATTAGATATCCAAAGATTATTAAGCGACGCAGTAGATAGACTCTTTCGCTTTTGTGATAGACTATCAGTTTTAAGTGATAGAATTTTCTCGTACCTGATTTACTTTCCGAGTTGAGTTCTATCTGTGTACATTTCTGGTGAATGTGCTGGTACAATCTTTCAAATGTCAAGGAAACAATCAGAAGAAGAAAGAGAGTAAATTAAAACTTCTTTCGTATAACAATATTTGATGTAACTGGGTAATGTAAAAATGTCTTACTCTTTATTCAGGAAAACAGTTTCACTAAGTGTGGGGCACATTTGCGCGAAACCACTCAGCGCAAACAGGTTATTGGAGCGAAATCACCCGGACTCCTCTAGTACCTTATTTCAACGACGTAGATCCGAGGATAAACAATGTATAAAATATGGTAGATTTTCAGTAAATACATGAATTTCCTAGCTATTTAGTAATTATATATATTTCTTGAAACGGTCATGATTTGAACAATTTAAAATCTACATTACCCGAGGATGCTTTTACATAAGTTAAAATTTTTCTGGCTGGCCCATGCAGTGGTTCTTGAGAAAAAGATTTTTTTTTTAAAAAATCTTATAAATTTCAATTTAAAACTTGGATTCCAAATTGTGGACCCACCCTACTCCGGGGCTCATGATTTAAACAATTTAAAATCTACACTACCCCAGGATGCTTCCACAAAAGTTTCAGTTTTTCTGGACCAGTGATTCTTTAGAGGAAATTTTTAAAGATTTTTCTTATATATTTTAATGTGAAACTTGGTTTCCCTATTATGGCCTCGCCCTATCCCTGGGGGTCATTATTTGAAGAATTTAGAATTTACACTACCCCAGGATGCTTCCACTTGAGTTTCAGCTTTCCTGGCCCAGTGGTTCTTCAGAAGATTTTTTGAAGATTTTTCCTAAATATTTTAGTGTAAAAATTGGGTTCCCTATTATGACCCCGCCCTACCCCTGGGGTCATGATTTGGACAATTTAGAATCTACACTACCCCAGGATGCTTCCACATAAGTTTCAGCTTTTCTAGACTAGTGGTTCTTGAGAAGAAGATTTCTACTATCAAAGTCTACTATCAATTTCGATTAACTGCCTCGAATTAGCCCAAAAAAAAAAAAGAGTACGATGGTGGTTTTATTTGGTGGATGTAAGCTGTAAGAAAATGACAACAAGCAAATGTACAGTCATTTATGATTCTCGATATATGGATATCAAAGATTTAAAGGTGCATAGACACAGATTTGAAGTTAACATTTTCTTATATTTTATGTAGAATACTACGACTTATATATTGCAAGAGCATTTCACAAAAAATATAATAAAAATCTTATATCATTTCTAAGTTATTGAAACTTCGATTTTGTGGTCGCATTTAATTGACACGTCCTTGCACTTTCTCAAATTATAAATTTATTCTTAATACAGAAGAAAAGTGGCAAGTTCGTTGTAAATTAATGAAAAATATTAAAACTATAATCTAGAAAATTCAGAGTAAAAATGTTCGAAAGGAAATCACGCTCAAAGTATATTGTCAGTACGTGCTCAGTGGTGTGTGCAGACTGAAAAAATTGCACACACCCGGTGAATCGTGAGCGTCAACAACCTAGCTGGTGCCTTATTAACAAAAACAGTTTATGTTTTACGGATGCATTCAATTCGTTCAACTCTGTACAGAAGACTGAGCACGGACTGGCGATACTAGTTATATAGAAAAAATTGAGAAAATATTAACTTCAAATCTGTGTCTATGCACCTTTAAGATAGAAAATATTGTTAATCTGATGCATAATGACTTATCAAACATTGTAATTACAATTCACAAAATAATTTCATGAAACTTCAATTATTTTTTTAAGGATACTTTTTTGGTTGTGCCATAGACGCTTTCTTGCTTCTTCCTTTTCTTATTTCTATGACTGGAAATACTTCTTTCAAACATTTCTCAATCTTATTTATCTCACCAGGAAATACTTTTTTTCTTTCCCTCAAATATTCCAATCTGATTATATGTTCTAAAACATCTGCATCTATTGTTTCATCCATCTTTTCTTCGAAGTTGCACTTAATAACTTGAATCAGAGCATTTTGCTCTTTCGATCTCTCTGTAAAAGGTAAGCTAATCTTAAAAATCTTACATTTCTACAAAATAATCTACAAGTAGCAATAACAATAAGGATTATAAAAGATAATAATCAATAAGGACACATTTAATGATCTTATATCTAAGGCTTTATAAAACAATTTGATTTCACACAGAAGTTGTAATTCACAAGAAATGCTTTAGAATAACATGTACATTTGCAATATTACAATCTACATGTAAACTGTCTATAGTTTTTGAATTCTTGCAAATTGGAAATGTTGAAAAATCAACTATCATTGTGAGAATGCTGCATGAGCATTCATTTACTGGTCCCATACATGCAAGTGCAATATGTCCCCCATTGAAAAATTATATGTAACTAACAAAGAAAAGGAAATCTGAAAAAGATTCGATTCTTTCTTTCAGTTCGGTTCTTTCTTTCCATCGAACCAAAAAAATGAAATCATAGAATAAGAATGTCTAAAAAAAAAACGTAGCAGAAAGTATTCTAATATTTACTTTGACCCAAGAAAAGCACAGGTCGTCTGCAAATATTGACAATTTTTATTATTCGTGTTGTAAGTCATTATCACTAATTTGTGACTCGTGCTAATTTTATAGATCCGACAAAAAAGCTATCTACGCAGTGTTTACCTTCTTCAACCTTTGCCATATCCACATTGGTTCCTTGGAGTAAGTCAACTAAGTCGTCCCGGTTATCGTTTTTCAAGACCAGAAGAAGTTGCTCATATCCATTTATCTTTGTATCAAGAATATCCAAAAGTATTTGGACCTTCGCATTATCCGTTATTTTTTCTATTCCTATTCTCTGATGTTCATCATGCTCGATTGTTCCATTTTCATACAAGAAATCTTTAACTCTGTCGGCATCCACATCGTTGACTAGAGCCGTGTAATTACATCGAATTCGCGCTTTCCCCTCAAAATCCATTCTCTAAGAAATAGAATTTGAATTAAAAAATAGAATTCTTAATTATTTTTAAAACTGTTCCCTGTACTCACTGTAGGACTCCATTCCTTTTAAAGTAAAGGACCCATTGCAAGCTTCAAATCATATTCGCAGTATTATAAAATAGAGAAAGTATCTATTTTACAATACCGCGTGTATGTTTTTTTAAGGCCCTGTCACACCAAGCTGCGTTCACACGGAGTCATTACGGCGTTGTTAAATTTTTTAAATCGCCGTGGAATCGCAGGAAAATTTCACAAATTTCTGTAAAATTTTTATAATATGAAGATGTCACGGCGTCCCTACGGCGACGGACGCGATTCTACGACGATCTCACGGCGTTCTACTGCGTTCCCACGGAGATCTCTCGGCGATTGACTGCGCTTCCGCGGAGTTTTCACGGCGCGTTAGGAGTTTTCACCTCGTGTTCACGGTGTTCTCACTTGGCTGGCTGCGTTCACAATACGTTCACAATGCGTTCTATACTTATTGATATATACTTAGAAGGAATGTAAAACATTTTAATTTCAAGATTCAAGTTACGCGATAAAAAGACTTCTAATCATGCCAAGAAATATTCATAATAATCAAAACTGTTCTATTTAAACAATTTAATACTAAATTATTAATAGTTTTATGATTAAACTCCTTTTTTTCAATTTTATCGGTTCAGATGTGTTGTTAGATTTTCTTTTATTATGAATGTAAAAAAAATAATAAACACACTGAAACGTTTTCTACAAAATTTGAGTGAAACAACAGAACAAATTCTGGTGTAATTTTCTCTTCCACTTTTTTTTTCACTTAAATGCTCCTAGTGCAACAAATACGTAACTCTCCTACGATAGAGGCGCGAAAAGTATTCATTTCAGCATTGAGGTGGGACAGGTTGTTTCTGTACACAAACGTGCATAAATAAATGAACGATATTTATGGCTTTTAAGATTTACTAAATGTTATAGAAAGATAATAATGTAAAGCAGTGATGCATTTGATGATTTTATCAAGCTCAACTATGCATATTTACAAATATACTTTCAATAATATGGTACTTGAAAAAGAAAGAAACGTCGTAATCTTAACAAAATGTAACCGATTTTCTTGATTGTACAAACATTTTCTTAAAAGTTAGTGGGGGTTTTTTTAGTTATAATAAGGAAAAGAATCAATGTCATTTAGGTTGCCGACATGCAATGACCAGATACATGTGTACCGTATTTATTAGAGGTCCATACATGTATCTCTTCCCTCGTCTGAAAAAGTCTCACATCCACTGGTATTTTTTTTTGTTACGATTTTTATGCTTTAAAAATTACGCCTTTACATTAATTTGGTTATTCTCGAGTTGTAAAGTACATCCTTACAATGATGTATTTATGATAAACCAAAATATCGACGGATCAATGTATCTAATATATAAATAACTGTCCCACCTGTCTGTTTACGCAGCAACGAAATTCCCCTCCTCAACGAAAGAGCGCGTAGGGAGATAATCTCGAAACTTGCGTATTATTGCGGATCAAATATGATCCCATTGCTCTTGTTTTGTGAGCTGGCTGACAACGCTCTAACAACGCCGTGAAAGCGCATTGTGATCGCCAACGGACGCTGTAGAAACGCCATGGGAGCGCAATGATCGCAGTAACAACTCCGTGCTGTCGCTGTGTAATCGCAGTCGAAAAAATCACAAGACGATAAATCTCATTAGAAGCGCAGTAAAAACGAGATAGAAACGCAGTGAAATCTCCAAGGACTCCGCGACATCTCCGTGTCACAGTATAATACAGGTTGTCGGCGGACTTTCTATCTTATTACAACTATAAGAACAGTAAAGTAAAGGCTAGATTAGACACAATGTATTTTGACAATATCGAACGTGAATATATACATGTATGTGACCTAATGTTTGCACATAATTCAAAAACGAGCAAGTGGCTTCGTAGTGTACGGGTATGACTCTCGCTAAACATTGAGAGGTCCGGGATCAAATCCCGGTCGATCCAATTTTTTTTCAATACTTTTGTTATTATTAAATATAGTATTCAGTATGTGAAATGAAAAAGTTATGACGTCTGTTATATTCCTGTTATTAGTTTGACCTTTTTACTGACTTTCGTTTATTAGTAAAACCAGTTGATGCTGTATCATTATTAGCCAATCAGATAATTTCTTTTGTTTCATGTGCGAGTCTGTTATGTCATAGAATAAACGTGTTCAGCTTCCATGTGTTCATCACTCTGGGTCCATCGTCTATCAAATACCTCATAATCTAACAACGTCTGCTTTGTACAAACACATAAAATCATCATTACAGTGTGATAAATATTCTATACACATAATAAAGAATAAGCGATCAGTTTATATTCATATTGGTATTTTTTATTTGCCTCGATATATATGCAAACATTTAATAATTCTACAAATTCAGGGGGAGAGGGGGATCCCCCTCCCAAACTCTTTCTTCTTTTTCCCCTAAGCGTTGGACACAAATTCTCTGAATTAGCTTGTTTGTCATTATATTACAATATACCGAAATATCGATATTTTTGCCCAGCCCTACAACTGGCCCAAGATCATGAAATTAATAATTTTGGATGAGGCACCCTTTCTCATCATTACTATGTAGATAATTTATCGTCGTAACACACAGAAGCAGATAAGAAGATTTTCATAGAATTAATGCATTTTTTCTATATATAATCAATTAAGTCCCGCCCTAAAACGAGAACCCCTAAAAAGGGGGTCATAGAGAATCACCACAATTTTGGAAGAGGCACCCTTTCTCATTCAACGTAACATATTTTTTATATTTTAAATTCAACTTTGTTAAGTATTTAAAAGTGCATTACCTTCAGTCTTCTCAATATTTTTTATTTATTTTCATTTTTGATATATTTTATTTTTTGCATAAAAGCATCCACTGTAGTGAAAAACGTGTGTTTACGTGTTCCTCTTCTATGCGATCTAAATGTCTCCGCCCATTTGCTGTTACTTTAATTTCGAAAGCGGCCCAGTTCAAATTTCCGGAATTTTAAAGGCTTGTTCTTTTCAATGACGTTGTGGGTAATTATAGAAATATGTATGACAATAAGATCGAGTAATATATATCAAAAGCATATACTTGCATCATAATCATTTATTAGTTTTGCGATATGTTGTAATTCGAAGCTTCAAATGGATAGCCGAAAAGGTTCCAGATAACATCCTAAAGTGCACTCACATTCTTTATCTGGGTGTAAACGAAACTAGCTGATATTGGTACTATCTGCATATGCCTTGAGAGCAAAAACTTGAACAGATAATGTTATAAATGGACTCGTCATTATCCTAATACTTACCAATATTTTTAAAAAAAAAAAATTTCCGAGTTTAATTGATGAGCCACACACTTGAAAAAAACAGTCTGTCGAAGCATATAGTTACATTTTCTGTAATATTACATTACCTTCCTTCTAGAAATTCCACAAACATAAGACCGTAGTCAGGATGGCACTACTGCGCATGAGCGCCGAGCTGGGGTGCAAAATTATTATTATGTTCTAAATTCACCAGTTCAACCGAACATAAATTATTTATAAAATAAAACTCAAAACACTTTATATACTAATATGATGAGCTCGCATGCACGAGTGCAACAGACTTTAATGATGTGTATACAGTATACTTACAAAGCAGTCTTTGGTTTGACCTCTTAAATCCACATAATTGGCTTGATGACGCGATCCCTAAATATAGAATGGGCTATAGTTCTATTACAAGCTAGGTTAGTTTTTTTTTAGGATATACAAAAGGATTCTTTACTGTTTTGTTATAATGGTATTTAATGTTTTATCCTTCGTGTTGAGTTCCATGTCATTGTAATCTAAGTTGAACATTCTCTTAATGGTTTCAGGCCTCCGTAATCGAAGATTCGGAGGTAAATAGTTTTTGCCCTCAGGCTGTCTGCTTGTCCGCAAAAACTTTAACCTTGTCCATAACTTTTGAGTGGGCAGGGCTATGGCTTTCATATTTCACAGAGGTAATCCTTGTGACAAGACCTTCCTTTTGAAACTACCAAATTTGACCTCGTGACCTTGACCTTGGAGTTTGACCCACTCACACAAAAATTTCTGACCATAGCCAGAGCTTTTGAATAGTTGGTTCTAGGGCTTTTATACGTCACATGTTTTTTCACTATAACAGAACCTTTCATCTGGTATACAATTTTTGACATTGACCTTAGAGTTTGGCCCACTTTTTAAAAAAATTTAACTATGATTATAACTTTTGAACCGTGTTTAGAATTCTTTCATATTTCACAGGTATATTTCTTGTGAAAGACCTTCCTTTAGATACCAAGTATTTTGATCTTAACCTTAGACTTTGACCCACTGAAAAAAAAACTTTAACCTTGACCATAACTTTTGATTTGTTAGTTCTAAGCCTTTCGTAATTCACAGTTGTATTCCTTGTGAGAAGACATTCCATCGGGTACCAACAGTTTTGACCTTGGAGTTTAACTTGCATTTAAGGTATTTAAAAGTGCATTACCTTCAGTCTTCTCAATATTTTTTATTTATTTTCATTATTGTTATGTTTTATTTTTTGCATAAAAGCATCCACTGTAGTGAAAAACGTGTGTTTACGTGTTTACATTCCTCTTCTATGCGATCTAAATGTCTCCGCCCATTTGCTGTTACTTTAATTTCGAAAGCGGCCCAGTTCAAATTTCCGGAATTTTAAAGGCTTGTTCTTTTCAATGACGTTGTGGGTAATTATAGAAATATGTATGACAATAAGATCGAGTAATATATATCAAAAGCATATACTTGCATCATAATCATTTATTAGTTTTGCGATATGTTGTAATTCGAAGCTTCAAATGGATAGCCGAAAAGGTTCTAGATAACATCCTAAAGTGCACTCATTCTTTATCTGGGTGTAAACGAAACTAGCTAATATTAGTACGTGTACTATCTGCATATGCCTTGAAAGCAAAAACT